TACATTTGTATTTATGATGAAATTTAGAACCGTTGTTACCCCAATTACCTTGTTCTGACATCGATTGTGGCGCGCGTTTCTACTCTTTTACCGGACAGTTATTCTACACTCAAACATAGATTGGATTTTATATATGATGCTCATTAAAACTGTATACCACCTCGAGGTGTCTAGTTAAAGTCATATACAGGGAGCCCATTGCTGAAATCGAGTGCGACAATCGTATGTTGAAAGGATGATCATGCTCTACTCATCTCGGATTCACTCATATCCTGATTTTAGGGGACTTCAGTCTTCCTAAAGTCAATTTCGCGGAACATATGTATATTACGGATGAAAACTCAATTAGAGCTTGGTTCTTCAACCTCACTAAGGATCTGTAACTATTCGACAATATGAAGTCGACAAATCGTTGGAGAAACGGTCAGACGCCATAGCGCTTAGACTGGGTATTAACAGATGGAGAATTCATAGTCGACAACCTTTTAATCCTGGCTCCCCTGGGGAAAAGCGATCGTTTATGAGTGGAATACAAACTGGTAACAACGGCACATACGGACAATTGAAACATATAAGGAACATATGCACAAAGGCAATGAGCTGAGCTGTAAGACAAATGGAAGGAAGGTGGCAGAAACTGATCGGGAAACAACAAGTAATAACACGTGACTGGGACGTTAATTGAATGTTAAGCGATCAACCATAGAGTTAGTAGAAGAAAAGCATGACATTTTAAAGTTCTATCAAGTCGCATTGAAATAGATAACTTTGACAATTGATTGAGTTCCTCAGATGAGCAAGGTTAGTTTTGTCGCAAAAGTAGTGATGTTACAGTGATAGTACGATAAGCGTATTATTAATCGAGGCCGATGTTTGTACTGCCACCGGTTCAGAGTAGAAAGTCAGTAAAAGTTGTTGACAACTGTTCGTAAGTGTCGATTTCTAGTTATATCTATATTTAACAGACTAACTGTAAGTGCAGAAGTATAACCGTGAAGATAAGTCGTGATTTCGTTTTGCGAAGCTTCTGATCAACTTGTAGTCAGTTTGGAAAGTCGATGACTGCTGTTACAATCAATAAGGGTCGACGAATACAGATCAAGAGCGAAGGTGGCACGATCAACTCCCTAAAACATGATAAACGACGAGTGCTGCATGTTTGTTCGATGGATAAACAGAAAAATATCGAAAAAAAAACATGAGAAACCAGGAGTGTCACTCTGGACTCTTGCCAATGATATCAGTGAAAAATGCTGTCAGTTTGTGGTAGGGACGACAATATCGTTGTTAGTTTGCAAGAGATTCGCTGGACTGTGTACGATAAGGAAATCTAGCCATGATTTACCGTGTGAGATAACAGCAAACACAAAGCTCATAGTAAACGTTAATTAAAATGGTAACCACCAATGTAACTAAAGTTTAGGTTTAGAGAACGTGATTGTTTCGTAAAGGAGCTTATTATCAAGCGTTAAGTGACATTAAGTACGACGAAGTGTCTCATTAGGATATGGACTAAGACTACTCGTGTACATGCAATACGTTTTTCCACAATATGTTGACTTACAAGCCACAAATGTACATGGTTTCGACTAAAATTTGGCTGCAGTGACAGAATATATGACTACTCTACGTGAAAATAGTCGCGAAATGTTATTAGACATCATTAACTTTATATGAAATTAACTAACGCAATTATGAAACTCGCCAGGGTTACTCCTGCTCCCAAGGAATTGAAATTTGTTGATTAAATTCGTAGATTAACGAAGCATTTTAGACTGAATTTGTATAAGTCTTAACGAGCAATCTAAACAAGATCTAACCTTGCAAGAAATTTACTATTCAAACTCACCGTAAATTTCTAGCATTCGTATCCTTTTTCGACATGGAACTCAGCAATTGGAAATTAAGCATGCAGTGGTCAAGTAAGTAAAATATTCTGGTAGATAGTTTCTGATAGAAGTTAGTTGATAGTGCTTAAGCAGAAAGATGACTTTATAATCTACAGTTAATCCTGTATTGCTTATACAAGTGGATAAGTTGCAAACAGACATGCGTTCGTGTTGAAATATCGCTATAATTACGAGTGGTTGATATTTTAACAGACATATTTCATAGGACCATTAACATGCTGCTAATGTCTGTTAAAGAGTCACGATAGCCGATTATAGTCGTAGTTGACTGGTTAGTTCTATCGATTGAACCTATTATTTAAGTTGAAATACTAATCAACAAGGATATGAAGCAACGAATGTTCACAGCAACTGATTAACATAGGCGACGTCATAAATGAAAAATAATAAGTATAGAGTGCAATAAAAAAGATCATAATGATAGGTTGCGTTATTCGAAGTCTTGCTCACCAATCTAGACCATCAACGTTGATGATCTATGTCGAATGACTGGAGGCCTACTCAAGTTAGAAGGGAACGGTGTAACAAATAAGCTAACTTCGAAGTCACATCTCGCGACCAGAACCTTACGTGATTTGCCCTATCGACGTATCTAGGGACCATGGATGCTCTGAAGACTGTACAACAAAACGAACGTTATTACAGGAATATATTAGTTAAAGTAGATACAAGTGAAAGTAGAACCACTTCCGCATGGGCCAGTTCATGGTGTATGATTAACCGACGCGCGTTGATTGTCCTCGACCTAGACGGGGATTGATGATCTGCTCAATATCTAGTGACCCAACTGCGGATGATTTGGCTAGGGTTCAGTGACGTTTCATTGGCCCTACAAGGTCAAGTTAAGTGCATTTTCCCTCGGGTTATGGAATGACCTGGCGGGGTCCTCCAGGGCTCATTCCTAGAACATCTTTTATTGATCTATATAAAAAATCCTCCACAACAGGTATCGTCCGACTTTATTACTTTTTGATGATGACGTGATGCTTTTGAGAGAGATACACAACCAATAGGATATAGCGGCATTTCAGGAGAATTTGAATCGACCTCAAAGTTGAGCAGATGACAACGAATTACCTGTAACATTTCGAAGCGTAAAGTAGTCCATCTGAGACACGTTACAGACTACAGTTACTGCTTAAGCAACTCCTCTCTAGAATTATCCCTAGCTGAAAAATATTTAGGAGTGCTGGTACTCCGTGATTTGAAGTCTCACGCTAACTGTGACAAAAACGTCTCTTGAGCAAATTTTGCACTGGTAACGTTGAGGCGCATTTTTGGCCAGTTTGACGCAGGAATTTTCCATATAATCTTCAACATTTTTATTCGTCCCCATTTAGAGGACGGAAACATAGTATTTCCTACCTCAATCCAAAAGGACAAGGATTCTTTGGAATGTATCTAACGGATAGCGACGAAATCAGTTCGAAGACTCAAATTCAAGCTATATGAAGAGCGCCACCAATCAACAAACCATTATCCATTAAAGTATAGGTGTCTTAGAAGTGAACTAAGGGATAACACCCAGAAACTGGAGACAAAACGCAGCAGGACAGACAGTAGACACAACTTTTACTACTTAAAAGTAGTTAAATGCTGGAATTCGCTGCCGGCTGAGCTAGATCAAGCTACTTGCCAGTAGTCTGATGGTGCCACAGGTATTGTAGTTTGACAATACCTTAACCAGTAACACTTATTACTGAATCGTGCCCACCCAATGAGATCAAAAGCCAGAAGCGAGGAGGTTGAAGGATATATTTGATAGATTATCAGTATATTGAGAAATGACTGGTCTAAAATGGCTAGTATTCGCAGGAAACGTTGAACACGCTGTTCTCACCCGTGATCTGGAGCGGACGCATAACAGAGCATCTTCAGCTAGATGAGTCCATTAAAACAAACGTGGTCAGATTGCAATGTCGAGAACTAACAGAGCTATTGATGTTGAGGATTGATTTACCGCTACAAGGACTTTCAGATTTACATATTTATTTGAACACAAACATTGGTACAAGGAGGCACCAAATATATATGCCCCACATAAATCATCCGATTTGTGTGAGGGCCGGAATACTGCCCGGCTGCTCAAACCAAAGCAGGTGGTTTCCTTAGGGAGCCACACCATGAGCCTTTGACCTAAAGGTCCAATCCACAAAACAATCGAGCAACGTAAGGAGATGCATTCCCATGGTAGCCGGTGACCAACAATTGGTTCGTACGCCATTTGTTCCCCCAAGACTTGAAGCCCATGTGCACCATTGGTTTGGAATCAGGGTTTTCCAACTTCCCTAAATGGATCCTCCATATCCACCAAACCGGTTAATGTACCGGATATTCACTTTTCGTCCTCCTAATTTTGCAAACAACAGTAATGCCGCGAGAAGGCAGTGGTTGTATGCACGTGGTCACTTGGGAGCATTTCGAGAGGGATAGCTGACTCTCTACTTTCGGCCGTACCAGATCAAGATAAAACTTGACATGTTCTTAAGGACTAAGGATAATATCTTGATATGATTTGCCAATCTCATTTTCCTGTTCTATCGATTATATACCTAAGCTTCTGTCTGGAGTATTGGTAATCCGCTGCTGCTAGATATAGATGCCTTGTTGAGTGAAAGCTTCATCTATTCCGCCAACAACCGTTTGAACTATTTGAACTATCAAATTGACCAGAAATATCACAAGGGGGTTTTTGTGGAGATTTAGTAATTTTATAGTTAAGATCATGAGTCAATTGTAGCTAGACAACCGTGGAAAACCTGGAAGCACTGGACTACCGTTTCGTCCTATTATGGGACTCCTCAGCAGTGCACATCCACGAACCCGCTCTCGCGAGATTCGAACCCAGGACCTACCAGTCTCGCGAGAGCAGGTTCGTGGATGCGCACTGCTGAGGAGTTTCATAATAGGACGAAACGGCCGTCCAGTGCTTCCAGGTTTTCCACGGTGGTCTAGCTTCAATTGACTCATGATTTTAACTATGAAATGACTAGAGATAGTCAATTAGAGTGAAAACACTACCTCTCATTGATATTATCAAAGACCTTGGACCTTATCGAAACAAAAAGAATAGAGCTGAAAGAAATCAGCCGGTTAAAACGTTTTCGTCATTAGAATGCTTGGTTATGTAAGGTCATTAATAAGAGGGACATTCAAATGGTTTTGTCGATGCTTGTGTCAACTTTATTAATATAGGCTTACTTAGCCATGAGGATGATTGAGAGTAGGTTAGCAGACTCCAGACACAAACTCATTGAGACAAGCAACAATATAGAGAAAGCTACTGCTTTCTGTTCGGAAAAATACTTGGTAGTTGTTTCACTGCTGATAACGTATGATAGGTTAACCCCGAAAGCAACACACTTGATGAAAGTTTGGAGTTAGCAACACAATCTATATGCGCGGTAGCTCACGAAGTTAACCGCTTTGCCAGTCAATTTCTTGAAGCACTTGAGTACCAGTCGTATCAAACCACTGATCTGTCAGATAAAATTTCCAAGCTGAAGATGGCAAGTAGTCCCTTACAATGGTAATTTACTAGGTATGCAATATTTACTTGGAAAAGGTGGCGCGCAAGGCTGTTGGGTCTTTCACAGTGTCGAGGGTCCCAGTTGTTTATCAGCATGAAGGAGTGTTTCCTGAACCTCCACAAAAGTATATAAGACAACCAATCAACTTTTCAATTTTGGATAACGTTGGTCATGGAATACCCACACAAGTAATCCGTGCTTGTTAAATGTACTCTAAATGCTTACCAAACGTTTCTAGCATATAGATATTGTGTGCATATATACATACAATTGTATGTATGTAAATATTATATTTACCTGAAAAGATAGTCTAGCTGAAGACTAAGGCGAGATTAATTTCCAGTGAAGAAAGTGCATCTTTTAAGAGATGTAGCAGACAACTACAGCGTGATAGCTGCTTACTTCATTTCTAAGGCACCTACTGAGTCCCAAAATCCTTTTATAACTTTTATTTTCCCGGCGTGATTGTAGTTTATGAACGACCTTTGATAATAAAGTGACCGTGGTAAGATTCACTCACCAAAACCAAAAAGGGTTATAAAATGGTATGGTAAGGCAGGTTCAGGATAGGAAGCTAAGGTTTTCATCAAGAACTGACACCAGCTACAATACGAAGATGCTATCTAGATAAATGAGTAAATTAATTTCGCGTCAAAATTCGAAACTTATTTTAATTGTCACTAGTTTTTTCGTAGATCAGAGATTTCTACTATTACTAATTTGACACCATTACTACTTCTGTTGCTTTTGAATTTTTCTTGATAATCTTACCACCCGTCGCTACTACCGATGTGGCGCATATGTATCTGGTGCCCCTTTGTACCAATATGTATGTGTTTAATTAAATAACTACCGATTGAATGGTCTAGTGAGGTCCTTGAATTTGTGTAGTTGTAGTGACTGCCTCTCGACTGATGCTGAGATGACCTAATTTGACTATTTAGAGGAAGTAAAAGTCATAACAAGGGTTCCGTAGATAAACCTGTAGAAGGATCATTATCATGACCTAAAATATATGGTGGAGCATGCACCTGACTTCATGCTGGACTGCATGTATGCTGACTTATTGGTATTTGCCCTATGCTTCAGCGGTTGTTATCCTACCTTGTTATTGTGTTGTGATGGCCCGGGCTGACCCACTTGTTAGGTACTACGTCGTATACCCTGACTTATCTGATAACATCACAAGTCACTGAGTCTCACAATTCCAAAAGCGCCAATCAGAGGTCCCTGTTTTTCCGACAGATACTATTTCCATGAAGCCATCTTTCATATCACAACGCTATATCACAAAATAACCCCTTCCGCTCTTTCCACCTAGTTACAGCATCAGTAAATGGAGTACAATGTAAAATTCGCTGGGCTGACACTCATGAAAAGTGATCAGACCACCGAATTGTATATATTTCAAGATGATAACACCACAACTGTTGATAGGCTTATTATCGCATGGGCTGCCCCCAAATGCCCTGGTACGGCCGAGAGTGGGGAGAGTCACCTCTCCCTCTCGAAATACTCTCATATGGCCAGCGAATATATAGCCTCTGCCAGGGAAGTCCTACTCACTGCCTTCTCGTGGCGGGGGTGTTGTTTACGAAAGTGAGAGGACGAAAAGCGAATGTCCGGCGCTTTAACCGGGTTGGTGGACACGGAGAGTCCACCTAGGGGAGTTGGAAAACCCTGATTCCAAACCAATGGTGCACATGGGCTCCAGTATCCTGATGGAACGAATGGCGGATGAACCTGTCATTGGTCAACGGCTACCATGAGACTGCATCTCCTCACGATGCTCCACTGCCTTGTGGATCAGACATTCAGGTCAAAGGCTCCGGGTGTGGCCCCATAAGAAAACCACCTACTTCAGTCTGGGCACCTGGGCAGTATCACAGCCCTCACACAAATCGAATGAGATTTGTGAGGCGCATATTTATCTGGTGCTTCATTGTACCAATATTTATGTGTTTAAATAAATAAATAAATAATCGCATGGGCTATTTCTGAACACTTAGAAAAAATCTTAAATTGGTACCCTGCCATAGTCGAACGCGTCGACAACTTCACTTATCTTGGAAGTCTGATCAGCCCTAATGGGTTGGTGTCTGACGAAATCTCAGCACGGATTCGAAAAGATCGTTTGGCTTTTGCCAACTTACGTCACCTATGGCGAAGACGAGATATCCGTCTATCAATTAAAGGACGAGTATACTGCGCATCAGTTCGCTCTGTTCTACTTTACAGCTGTGAAACATGGCCATTAATAGTAGAAGATACTCGTAGGTTACTAGTATTTGACCACAGATGCATTAGAAATATTGCTCGCATCTGCTGGGATAACCGGGTAAGTAATAGTGAGGTTAGACGCAGGGTATTAGGGAACGATGGTAAATCAGTTGATGAATCTTCATCGACTGAGATGGTTGGGCCACGTGTTACGTATGCCTGAACACCGATTACCACGACGCGTTATGATGAATAGTGTAGGGGATGATTGGAAGAGAGTTAGGGGCGGCCAAACCAAAACATGGCATCAGTGTTTGAAGTCACTAACTTCTAGTCTGAGCCATGTTGGCAGATGCAGACTACCTGGTTGGGGTCCGCGTGACTATCGTAACCAATGGTTGGAGACTCTAGGTGACATGGCTCAGAATCGATCACAATGGCGTAGGTGTATACACTCTTTATCTTCCCTTAAACCTTGAGACTAAAATTTCTTCATATCTCTCTTCCTTCCTGTACTATATCCTTATATACAACCTATAATTTATATACTACTACCACCACTAAATTAATTACTTCTATGAATCCGGTGTTCATCTTGTTGTGCTAACGAGGTATGGCAACTTGGACCGATGCATAAATGTGCCTGGTCCTACGTTGTAGCTGACTGACTGACCCTGCCATAAATGTTTTTATAAATGTCAGATGCTGAAAGAAAGTTATGTAATAACGGTCTAGTGGAGAGTGGTATGGTGAAAATAATTGCCTACGTGACAGCTATTATAACAGCTGCTCTTATAAGAGGAGAATAATAATAATAATTGTGAAAATGATTGCAAAGGAGTAGAAGTAACAAAATAAAAAGCCATAGATTATGAAAGATAGGAAAGGAGGTTAAGACCATTGAAGAATATGGAGCTGAACACACTGTTTCTGAAGATTGTTTGCACTTGAAAACTGGTGCTATGAAATTAAACACCGTATCCTAAGATACTGGTTGCTTACCAATAAAGATATATATACGGTTTCGTGACTATTATTTTAAGTCTATTTATCCACGTTTGACCTACTATTTCCAGTGTTGAACTATTGACAAAACTTTCGTTATAGTGTTTTATTATTCTTACTACTATCAGTACACCTGACTTCCTATTTATTTATTTAAACACAAACATCGGTACAAGGAGGCACCAAATATGTATGCCCCACATAAATCATCCGATTTGTGTGAGGGCCGGAATACTGCCCGGCTGCTCAAACCAAAGCAGGTGGTTTCCTTAGGGAGCCACACCATGAGCCTTTGACCTAAAGGTCCAATCCACAAAACAATCGAGCAACGTAAGGAGATGCATTCCCATGGTAGCCGGTGACCAACAATTGGTTCGTACGTCATTTGTTCCCCCAAGACTTGAAGCCCATGTGCACCATTGGTTTGGAATCAGGGTTTTCCAACTTCCCTAAATGGATCCTCCATATCCACCAAACCGGTTAATGTACCGGATATTCACTTTTCGTCCTCCTAATTTTGCAAACAACAGTAATGCCGCGAGAAGGCAGTGGTTGTATGCACGTGGTCACTTGGGAGCATTTCGAGAGGGATAGCTGAATCTCCACTTTCGACCGTACTAGGGACTTCCACTATCAACTTGTACTTTTACCTATCATACGCGGTGACTTGATGTATTTCACTTTGATTTTTAGCTCAAATGGCCTTGATTGGTTTAGCATTTTCGTATAAATATTCATGTATATTAGATAAAGCTTGATGACGATCTAATTGAAAAACAATTGTTCGCTGACATGTGTTTTTCCAATTTTCACAATAGGAATCTTTAATATTACTAATAAAGTACATTATAATTAAGGTGTTAATGTTAGTTTTAGTAAACCTAACATATCCTTTGTCTAATCTAGCGATCCGTGTAGTCTTCAGGACCTCTTCTAAAATGTGAACCACAAAGTCAAAAGACATTAAAATCTTGTCATCTTGACTAGCTAATACTCAACAAAACTACGGGGTTTGTTTGCTGATTTACTCAAGATAAGGTATTTTCGTAAAAGCCCTACGTGAAATTTGGCCATTTACAAAGTAGTCTCTCTAAAACACTCAGGGAGATTCTTGTACAGTTAATCAAATTTCTATGATATAAATATACAGTACTAATGCTTGTTCTAGTTAGGCATTTGGACAGAAATGGTGTTCCCGTGGAAACTAAGAACCAGAGAGCTATTGTATATTAGGCGTAAGACGTTTGGGTTCATCACTCAAAGAAATAAAAATTTACTTTGCTAAGTTCCAGAGTCCAAAAATGGCTTTTATGGATGCTGGTTATAAATATTTGCTTTTACAGTTAATTCGTGGTTGAAACTAAATTCAATAATATTCCATTTCTATTAACATGTTCCCCTGAAATTGTTAGCGCATTCTATCTCAATCCTCTTTATTTTACGTGAACTGTCTACTGGAACTTTTTAGGATCCAGTTTCTAATTATTATGGACAGTCATTCATTCAAGCTGCTACCCTTACACGACGAGGTAGTTCCTCAGCTAGTGGTCAACTTCCTGGACGACAGCATAGTACGGTTGCCTGCCGTACAATGAACTCAAAACCGTGTCTAGAGTACGCAGCACCCACAAATAATTTGAGGCCGCAAGGTATGTTATCGTTTTTACTGGTTCTCAAACATATTTAGTCGATTGATTTATTGATAGGTATCTAACTAAATTTTGTTCCCTAAACCTCTTCCAACAAACGGAGCATAAATTAGCTAGACACTTCATTACACTAACATACCTTGAAATTACAGAATCACTAATCGACCGATGCTCATAATCTTTTAAAAATACATATAGATTCTCCATTTAATCAACCATAGACTACAGTAACTGACTAAATCGAATCTCAGTCTTAGTTGTTACATAATACCAATAAACCAAGAGGCATATAACAGAAAGGGAAATGATGTCAACTACAGTGTAAAGCTAAATATAAGAAATATAATTAGAAACGTACAAATGAAAGTATTTAATGACACTAAGCTCAACATTTAGGGAAAGATAAATGGTGAGGGCAACGGTGGATTCCAAGATAATCAAATATGTATTAGAGTAATTAATTCGTAACAATAGTTTCCTACTCCTTAATTGTGAGAATTGTTGACTTCCATATTTACTTATAATTTTACCGTCAAAACCTACAACATATCAGTCAGTCAGCCACAACGTAGCTAATCTCTTGTTTGTGAGAAACCGAATGTGAAATGTGGCAAGGTATTTAGTTTTAAATAAATAAAAGTGTCAATGGACGAGGTTGTCAATGTTTATCGATTGGCAACAGATCATATATGTGGTTCAAGTGCTAGTGATGTGCTAATAAAGCTGGTCACAGATTGAGATTTCACTCCACATCGTTTAGGCTAGGTTGGTAGTATTGCTAGCTCTCAGTGTAACTCAAAACGGAGTACATACATCTTTAGTGATTAGAAAAATCACATCATAGCTTAACTCTTAACCAGTGGGTTTCATATTCAGACTGCATTCTATTTACCACTTTGGAAACATTATAGTATAATTAGCTCAAAACAATGGATTTGGCTAATAGCTAAGTACGTAATGGTCGGTAAGGTGTCTTCAATGTAATTGTAACGTGAAAGAAACCTCATCTTTTAAACAAGGAATGATGCCTACTTGGTTATTCAGTGGCTGAGTCCAAATCTAAAAGAGATGCGTAGCTTAGGTTAGAGAATATTGCAAATGAGTGATTAAAAACCCAAGATGTTTGAAAATCATTTACCCTAACGTATTTGTATTCACTTCATACCAGCCTTTAAATCTACAGTATTTTTATGTTCATTTGTTCATATGGTATATATTAATATCAAATTTCTTGTGTGCTGCATTGCAACTTACAATAATGCATTTCTCTATAGTTCCAGGTTCCCAAACTTCACATTACACGTGGACAGTACTAAGTAGTTTCACCACTAATAACAACGTTGATGACTCTCAAACATCCACAGGTCCTACGATATCAGACCATAACTTATTGTCGTTCCTGTTTATGCATGGAATAAACTAAGATCGTATATGGTTTACGAATTTCAGTTGACAAACCTTTTACTTTTGATAAGCCGTCAATCACTCATATAATCTGTATAAAGTTGACAATTGTTTCTATCATTCTGTACTCTATGATTTTATAAGTAAAACTGATTTATTTCAATCACATCTGATTCTTCAAATGTGGAAAACGCTACATAATCTGATCTTCATTAGCAGGTCTATTTGTATATCTCTGAAGGTTGATCATCTAAATATTAATTTTTGTTGTAATTTTTTTCAGCACAAAATGGGTACAAATGAGCACTCAAATAAACATGTTCGACACAAATAAGAAAATAAAATTGTGAAAAGATAGGAGGGATTATAGTCAGGATAGGTGGATGAGGAAAAATAAATATATAATGGGAGAAACAGTTTGGTTAAAATAAGACTAGGAAGGGTTTTTTTAGTTAGAGGAGTTCTCTTCATTTTTATGTAGGATGTAGATAAACTGAAGTAGGATTGCCCCTGATTTATGTTCTGAGCCATGTCTAATATTGTCTCAAACCAGTCTATTGCATCATCTCTTGAACCTCGACCAGAGAATCGTGCTAAACTGACCTACCCAGCTTTCTTTCACACCACAAATATATGTCATGAACTGGCCACATTTGCTTTCTACACCGCGCTCCAGCCTCCGTAAATAATCCTCGATGCTAATGTGGATAATATTTTCAACAAGTGCCTAAACCACCGAAGCTGATGTTTCAAGATAGTGACATCAATTAAATTTTCATGATCGCACCTAAATACACGTTGCCGAACCTCAGCATTTTTAACGTAGTATTTTTAGGGATCATCAGCAGTCTTTCAGGGATAAAGATGACTGAACACAAAACGTACTTGACTTCAGAGAGTTCAGCTTGCTAAGAGCAAGGCGAAATCGCTCTCAACGATGCATAGTAAACCTGACCTTTTATAGCCACAGTAACATTACAATAGCTATGGTATTCTACTAATCTTGAGTTTACATTACAGATTCCTTGATGTTTCCTGGATCCTAGTTAAAGTTCTCTAGCTTTCTTTGATACTTTAGGAGTGTCATTTTAGTTTACAGCCGTATTTATCATTTCAGTTTCCATCAATTTTTTGTTTTATAGTTAGTACAGTTGGGAGGGCAACTGTTATTTGTCGTGGTGGTATGTTGCCACCTCAACAATTCATAAATGCCTGTGGTTCTTTAATGACGCAACATATACCCGGTGGAATCAATTCGTCTGTTGGCAGCATATCATCAAATTATGCTTCAAGTGCAGCTTTTTGTATGAATAATCGTACTGTTAACCCCGATATTTTGTGTACAACTATGAGTAGTGCTCGGTCACGTAAATCAAGTGGATCTTCTGGTGCAGGTTCAAATGCTCCTCAGTATCACCATAGTCATTATACGCCTGGTCAAACTTATATTCAGTCCTCCAACAATGAACAACTAATGCATACTTCACATGTAACATATAATAAGGTAAAGAGCCTTTTTCATTACTTTTACGCGACCAAGTATGGCGTATAGTGATCATCAATTCAATGAAATGTGTAAAGCAATTTGTTACTTGATTTTGTTTTTGAATTCATGAATATTTTAATATTCATGGAAAGAAGATCAACTCAACTCAAGTTTGTGAATAGCTAAGTTCATTCTGATGCAAAAAAATATACGCCAAATGAATTGCTGAACAACCGGTTCTTATATTTTGTGATATAAAACACATCTATAAATTTATTGTTTTACTATCTTATCTGTTTTCTTAACTGTAGCCTACTGTCCAATCTCAGTATATGGCTTCACAAATTTCCCATGCTGTCGTTAGTGGGACATCGCAATCTGCATACAACAATAAGGAGGACCGTCATTTACTCTCTGATAGGGATGAAGTAGTTGTAACCGGTCAAACACACCTGCTTCAAAGTCAACAACAGAATGACCGAATAACTTCAGTACTAGCAACTGACTCCCCAGAAATTCTCCACTCTCAGCAACTACTGACCGAACAGCTACCACAATACCAACAAAATGTTCGGGATTCAGTGATTTACCAAAAACAGTCAACATTGGAAATGGACAAAAACATAAACAAGGTAATTTCAACACTGTATTTATACGGAAATTATTACAGAAAGGTTTTGTGCTAAGCACCAAGAAATATTTCACACATGAAACATGACAATAACTTTAAAAAAGTACCGGAAAAAAATCGTACAGCAAACACTGTATTAATTAGTAAATTTTAAGCAAGAGCTGGACCGACATACGTTTCAGTGTCGAGAGAAACATCCTTATATCAACCGGTCGTTGGTATTAAAGCTTCTGATCACTCTAAACTCTTCTCGCCATGAATGATTGTTTTATGTAAGTTGTTGCCTGATAAGATATTTGACTTAACTATTCGGAAACTGTACACGGTTTTTACTTACTGTCCTCGACCTTCACATTTCAAACAATGTCATAAACGACATAAGACGTATCCAATGAAGTTTGTACACTTTACAAACAATATAGCGACAGTAGATTAACAATATATATATAATAAATTATTAATGTCCAGTCAGTTGTAGTTACTAAAAGTCCTGGCACAAATTTGCTTGAGCCTAGTTTGTTACACCGTTTCAGCACGACAAAATGAAATTAACATAATGGATAATAAGTAAGTTAAAATAATCTTAGTAGCAATTAAAGTCAGAAAGGATAAATTTAAGGAGTATGGTTCGAAAAGATGTAATGCAAAGGTATTTATGAATGAATGCTGTAATTTAGGATCTACAGGGACATCAAAAGTAGAATGCATCTGGGTCCTATCACCAAACGTTTCCAGCCAGTGATCATGGTTTTTATACGGAACCCCAACTAGGTGGTTTGCACCTACTAACATGGCTCAGATTAGTGGTAGGCGACTTTGCGGACTCACAATGAGTCTCGGTTTGGTCTCTCCTATTTTGATTCTAACTTGCTACGATTGGTGGCTTAGTAATGTTAAGGCCCTCGATTTTCTAATTACTAGGTTTAAATCCCTCTCCACCTACTTCTGTTTGGGTAACTGTGTAATATCATTAGCCCTTACACTTAGTGTGGCTCATACCCAAGACCTGTTGAATGAGTTAAGAACGATGACAAAGATTGGGCGTCGAAACAGGCAGTTATTAGAGATATGTAATAAATATCTCAACCATCTCAGTCTATGGAGATCCCCATGTTGACCAACCAACTTGCCACCTTTGCTTGGTGCCGTATCCCTAACTTCTGTATCACTCGCTCTGTCGGTCTATGATAGACAAGGAATACTTTGAAGACATTTACGTTACACAACCCACACCCTGCGCACGTCTTCTACTTTCATAGGTCGTGTTTCATATCCACAGAATAGTACAAAGCGATTCGCTTCGTAGTATACTTGTCATTTGGAGGGCAGATAGATATCTCGTTCACAGCGCAAATGACGCGAATCGGAGGAAGCCAATAGAACTTTGTTAATGCGTGGTGAGAATGTTGAACACCAAACTGTCAGGGTTGATGGGACTTATGATATAAGTAGAGTGGTCAACGTACTCAACTACTTCACTTATGATCAACCTAAGCGACGATCCAGGTCGGTCTTGAGGACGTTTTGGATTTGGAGGGAGAGAAGTACATCTTTATGCTTGTTTTCTTTGTTCCAGGTTAGATATAGCCTTTACGACTTCTTTAGGATTTGGAGACTTGTGTTAATTTACCATTGAGATTGTTTGGAGATAGTGGGTAAATGTAAGCCATTGGAGCTGTTTCTTCGTATTGGTCTAATCTCATGAACTGAATGTGCGTCATGGTTCCTTATTTTTCAAACAGCTGGCTCTGTAACATCTTCCTTGAGGAGTGAATAGTTACTTATCTCTCCTATCTTTTCGATAGCTTTTAATTTCGTTCCCCATCGATGCTCACAATCATTTCGTAGAATTTTCAGTTTAATTTGGAGTCTTTCTTTGTTATTACTCACCGGGCCTGTTAAGATAATTTCCCGATCAAGTGTCACTTCAGTAGAAGAGTTTTAACTGGTGTCAGAATATGAGTCCAGGAATCTAATAAGTATATTCTTATTACAGTCTGTTCGTTGTATCTCCATTACTTTAAAACCTCGTTCTCAAAACATTTTCATCTACTTCCCCATCTTTTATGCAATATTTATTTTACAAAGATGGGCCAGTTGAATATTGCCAGTCAAGCAGTTTCAAGCACGCAGTCGCAACATCAAACTTTCAATGAAAAAACAGTCGGTGAACCTGATGAACACTTAACGATACCACCTCCTGGCGCATTTCGCTATGATAATGAACGGGAATCTCAAGTTAATCAAATCAAAGGACAAGAAGTAAATTTTGGAGATCCACTGGCTATGCAGAATAGTAGATTAATACCGAGACAGCCTAGTGACCCCGCATGGGCACCTGATTTCTATATAGAAAAAGGTATGAAAATGTCACTATGTACTTAATTTAGTCTTGCTTATTGTTTTAATATACCTATATTAATAAAATACAACCAACAGTTATCATCTGTTGAATGAATACTCTTCCCCTTAAAATCCATATATCTATAAACAGAGATGGAGGCACTCTGCACAGGATGCACATATACGAATAAGATACTAATCAATTGCGGTCGTAAATAAATATCAATGGGGAGATTCAAATAAACAATACAAAAATGAATAATAATCTATAGCTCCAATCCTTATTATTTCATGGACAAAATCCCTCAGATCAGACCCAGAAATAAGTAAATAAAAGGTGTAGTAAATTCTAACCTATGATCTACCAAATGTCGACAAATCATAACTTTCTTCCATTGGGGAAAATTAGTAAATTAACTATAACCTAGCTACATAAGGAGAAAAATTATACACGATTCAACTGTAAGTGGTTGACTTGCCACTTAACATTGGATATTTTCTTATCAAAAACCTTAAAATAAAACTAATCAAGCAATCAAGTGAAAGTAACACCTTAAATATCTATGTGAAATGCAACAAATCCATTATTTTGGAATTCAAATGTATACATATATCTCTGGAATAAATTGATGATACATTTGTGATATTTCGAGTAGAAATCGTCACTCAGTGTGATTCACTGCTTCAGAGTAAATAAATAAGTGAATAGAACTAGCACGAGTTTAAATAACATAAAGGAATAGACAAAATACTTAGTTCAGTGTTATGCTATTTTTGATCAAAATGGCTCCATGTGAGACATCAGTGTGTATAGTAGTGAGTGTGTAAATCTCCGTGTGAAATTTGTGTGTACATGTGTATTAATGGTGTGACAAACAAACAGAAGTAGATGCTGTTTTCTGGGTAAAAGGTCCACATTGGATGAATAGTCATGCTTTACTTTCTTTTAAGGACATAAGAAATTAGCATTATATGAAGAGCTTCAACTACTCACTTTTCTTTATATTTGGAAAAATCTTTCCAAGCAATTTCTGCCTTTTTGAATATCGATTTGGTGGTTGTTAAAAATAATATGTACTGTTATTGCCGACTTCACTTGCAGATTTTGTAGATGTTTCTTGGGACGAGTAGTGATTTCACGAAAAGATTCCTAAATAGAAAGCATTATAATTGACACAACCCAATGCGTATATGTATGAAGGATTTTATCTTCAGACTTATTTATATTTATCCTTCTGATGTAACGGTATTGGTAAATTAATTTAACTGTCCATTTGTGACCGTTTTAACTTATGGTATCTTAAAGAAATCCTAACAACTTTGTAAAGTTATACTTGTCGATTTGCTCTTTTTTCCCTGCAGTCATAACAATGTACGAGTACGTACGCGATAAAGATGATGAGCTAACATTTGTAGAGAACCAAATAATATACGTAATTAAGAAGAATGATGATGGTTGGTGGGAAGGAATTATGAATGGTAAAACTGGATTGTTCCCAGGAAATTACGTGGAACCTTTCGATACGGAATGATTAACCCTGGTAACGAAGACAACTTTGACCAAGTAAACCCACGTTAACCTGTCTAATTAACAAGCCCTGATTTAACATAAATACTTTTTAATTTTCAATGGTTAATTTATCTAACAAATTATAATCATCGTCATCACAATCATCTGATTTTTCAGAACACTGTTCGTCTTCGTTTTCACTCTCAGTGTCTTCATCAGGGTAGTTTTCCACACATGTCTGGCGACCATACTCGTAGCTGCGAACTAAAGCAAAAGATCGACATTAAAACAAATAAAAAATTTCCTAAATATTAATATTATTATTACTATCAAAGTCCCGAATTTATATATCGACAAGAAGCGCTTTGTGTTTTAAACACTTGACAATACTAGCCAATACATTGCTTTTAGTATAGAAATCAGTACCTACATCTGTGAAACATCTTAACATATCAAGTTTGAGAAGATACAATTTATTGCTTAACGGTACCTTATAGTTTGTAATTCTATTACCAAAAATTACATTTAACACGTCAAGATGGGACCTAGTCATTATATTTAACAAAAGTAAACGTTATTAGACATAAATTAATGGCAGGATGATTCGTAAACCAACCATAGTTCGAGGACGTTTTTTGTGGTAACATTTTGAAATGTTTACTCTATGAATATTGGCTATCGGAGGAGCAACTGCTTTATTTTTCTTTTGTCAATTTTTTTGAGTTAGGACATTTACATTGCCTTATCTACTATAGACACATTCGTGATTACTTTGGATTTCATTGAACATGACAGTCTAGTTTTTCATATATTTTATCACAACTTACCTGATACACTCAAATTATAACTATCAGTTAAATCATGTCCGCATTTCGGACAAGGAATATGCTTTCCACGTTCATACTTCACACCTTTTCTCTTGCAGTGGTCGTCACAATATGTAACTTTACAACGGAGACACGTTTGTGTTCCCATTTTGTTACATGAAGCACATTTAAAGCTCTCACCTTCTAAACGTTGACAGCTTGCCTGAAATATTACATGGGAAATGATTAGCTATGGCATAAACATAAAATCTTACATAATAACAAATTCTGTCAGTTAATTAAAACTAAATCAATGTGTGGGAACTTTGTCAATGTATGCAGTTCTTCGTTCGAAAGTTTTAATAATGATATTTTAATGTCCATTTAGTCTTCACTTTGCGTCTTGATATAGATAATCATATGTAACTTTCTACGTTTCACTTCATTAAGCAGCAGAAGTCAGTAAGAAAAACGAAGTAATGAAAATGACAATTTAACCCGAAACAAGGATAAAGTATACTTAGAATAATGTGATATTGTGAACGTCGGGAAAAATGATTACTGAGAATTTTTCTAACACAACTCTTGAGATTTTTTCAACAATTGGAAGTAGTTACCTTGCCAACTTAATACCTTTTCACGAATTGTAAAAACAGCAAATGACTTCATGAACTGATTGCATTTTATGTATGAGGTATTTTACGGTGTTAGTGCTGTTATTTATTTATTTGAACACAAACATTGGTACAAGGAGGCACCAAATATATATGCCCCACATAAATCATCCGATTTGTGTGAGGGCCGGGATACTGCCCGGCTGCTCAAACCAAAGCAGGTGGTTTCCTTAGGAGCCACACCATGAGCCTTTGACCTAAAGGTCCAATCCACAAAACAATCGAGCAACGTAAGGAGATGCATTCCCATGGTAGCCGGTGACCAACAATTGGTTCGTACGCCATTTGTTCCCCCAATACTTGAAGCCCATGTGCACCATTGGTTTGGAATCAGGGTTTTCCAACTTCCCTAAATGGATCCTCCATATCCACCAAACCGGTTAATGTACCGGATATTCACTTTTCGTCCTCCTAATTTTGCAAACAACAGTAATGCCGCGAGAAGGCAGTAAGTAGGACTTCCCTGGCAATGGTTGTATGCACGTGGCCACTTGGGAGCATTTCGAGAGGGAGAGAAGACTCTTCCCACCCTCGGCCGTACCAGGGCATTCGGGGGCAAAAATTGACTAAACTGCACCAAAGCAGCTAGTTTTTCAGGTACATTGTAAACAGGGTGCACTAAAAGGAGACCACCAAGTTGAGCGTAATCTCAAATCAACATTTATCACAGATTAAATTAATCTCTGGCGCATATATATTTAGGTCCACCCTCGCTATTTACGTATTTAAATAAATAAAATAAAACTCAATATGTACTATAGGCAATCACAATTGACCACTACCAATATTATCCTGAGACGGATTATATGGATTTCATAAAACATCAACATACCTGGTGCTCAAATTGGTCATCCTCACAAAGCTTGTGGCCACAATAGGCGCAAGAAAACACTCGACCACCAAAACTGGATAGCCCGCGCTCACATTCAACACAAACAGCGTCTCTCAGTGGACATTCACATGCATGTACGGATAAACACTTCTCTCCATGGCATATCCAAGCATCACAAAAGTCGCAAATCGCTCCCTTGAATATTAAGTGGATAAGGAAATGAAATGTTAATTGATGGATAGTTCAGTGTGGTATGTCCGAAGATCTGAGAGGTTATCAAGCAAATCCTGTAATTTTATAATAAATAGTATCTAAGAAAACGTCAGATACATAACTCGATAAAAAGAAACCCCAAGAACTTTCATATACTGAATGTTTTACATGAGGCTAACCAGAGATGATAGCTTTCATCTATTTCTTCTAGTTCATAGCCGTGAAGGTAAAGATAATTTCATTCCTCAGGACTCGTAAGACAGTACAAGTTGACTGTTGCATAAGTTAAAAAATAACTAAAATACACTCCAGTAACAGTAGTTAATCCAGCTCTTTTTACCCTATTTTGGAACAGTTAGCTAGGCGAACTTGCATTTCAATGAGTTTCCACTGAGCAAATCTTTAATCATCCCGTTCTAACTTGTTACGCTCCGCTTTTTTCAGGCTTGATTGTGTGGTTCTCCAATTTTATCACTAATCGGACTTTTTTCGTGGACTTATCATACTGTATTATTTCTGAAGTATGGGATAATTGCATCAGATTTTTACCTGTCTGTTAGATAACATAAATAAAACCGAAAAAGTATACTGTCACCGTGTTAATCATTTATTTAAACACTGCTGCTAAATGTAGAAAAAGGTATTAAAATATAGGAGTACATTCCCCGAAGTTAAAACATCTTCAAAACAGTATGATATATCAAGTCAGCCATTTTCAGACGTTTTGGCAAGAATGACTTGAACATTTCCACAAGAATGTCAGGATACTAGTCACTCTCTTTACCTTCATTAATGTCATGTATTTTTAACGTTAGTTTAGTACATCACCTTGGATGAAAAAGGTATCATAAGTCATATTAACTTTTTGATTTCTGAAATGTTTCATTCAACACAACGTCAGGAACTTGACATATTTCTTAGTTTCATATAATTTAGTAGCAATATGCTAACCGAACTGTACAATAGTGAACAGAACTAATTAATAACTTCAATATTCCCATTGTGATAAATTGGAGAATTAATTTAAGCACATCTATACTTTCAGTAGTTTTCTATCAGGTTTTATAATTACTGGGACTTTATTATTTATTCAGTACAGAAATGTTACTAAAAGCAGTTAAATCCATACAATTGTTTGCTTTTGCAATATGTAATTATAGAACATAGTATACAAACCTTGAATTGATTATTTAGTTGTAGCTTGAAAAAGACACAATATTCTACATAGTATATCCCGACGAGAACTCTGAATGGTAACTTTAGAGAACTATTTATAGACCAATACAATATATATTTTTTTATTGTATAATTGTTAAGCAGTCAAACTAGACATATTCATGTTCCTCTTATTATAAGCTTTATTTTGACCCATAGACTATTATTATACGACTTACCGTTCTTGAGTTATGCCCAGCTTATTAATAGTAGTCACCCACATTTACAGTCACTTTTGACTAGAACTTGTACAAATGTTGTTTTCTATTTTGTGGTGCGATGTGATTTGTCTGGTTTGTATATAAACCCAGTATGTTTGAAATACATGGTTCATATCGTGGAAGCTGAGATTGGTGTTCTGGACTTAACAGGCAGGGAGAAGGAACGATAAAGACTTTAGACTGCTTGTACAGGTTTACGCGCCATTGATCCGGTCGATAAATCACTTTTCTCTAATTGGCGGTATCATTACGTTATATAATAATAGGGCACAGTGCCACAAGCTTAACACTACACTAACGTTGTACATGTAAAAGGGATTTTAATTACAAGCGTAATTTATTTGTCCAAAATGTATAATGGATTCCAAATGGAACTTTTGATGCAACTCAGCAAATATGTTTAGGTATAAGTGTGAAGTTCTGATACATGGTCGAGAAGGGTTAGACGTATTATTCAAATATGCAGGCAGAAATTAGAGCTTCATTCGAATCTGTGGCCAACTAGTCGAAGGATGACCATCTAAAGCACTGACTACACTTACCACCATACTGAGTCCAGTAACATGTCCAGAACCATGTTTAACCAGACAATCGCCAGAACGTGCAGAACACTTTTGTTTACCACAATGACAACACACTGGAAGTCTTTGGATAGACTGACAAAAATAACAAAATGCCCGGTTTTTCTGACGCTTCCCACACTGGCCACACTCCTATAATTTGATAACCTTGAACAGAATACAGACATACCATCAATATGTTCGAAGGATGGTTGATAAGATCTATTTCTAGTCCTTGTTTTCGGAGTAACTTTTGTCTTATCTTAGCTTTTTCAGCTTTCTTTCTTTGTCCAGTTTTCTTTTTAGGCATTTTGCTGTAAATTATCGTTTTTGAAATTATTGTAAATACGTTTAATGTAAACAGCTAGACAAACCACTACATCAAAATAAAACACAAAAGTCCTCTGGTTAGATGTAAAGTGGTTCCAAAGAACCAGTTCCACCGGAGTTCATCTGATATCTTGATTAATTTTTCCTCTTAACCCCAACATAACTAGAGGAAGTCTACTGGCCCAACTAATATTGTCAAACACAGCTGTGAGAGGTTTTTAGTTCTCCATGTAACCACTCTACCATATAATTTTCTATCGGGACAATACCCGTGTATTTATCAGAAGAGATAATGTATAGTGACCGACCGTTGCTGCTACCTTGACGTGGTGGTCGGTCTTGCCTATCGTGATGAATCAATCGAGCTATACTGGCTGGAACAATCGTTCCTCAAGGTCCTACCATGCCAGGCAGGTCGTTTGGAGAGCGGTGAGACTAAAAGCAGCAAACCCAAGGTCTGAAGGCGAAGTCGTACTGCTGACTGTGCAGAGGTGACAGCAGTAATGTGTTTCCTTCAGAAAACCAGCATGACAGCGATGCTACCTTCCCACAAGGAGGGATGGGGTTAGAAAAGGTCGGCCCTAAAAATGCACACCTCGCCTTATCCCATGGATTTCCGTCTCCGGCGGTAAGGTCCTTTGAAGAACGGAGCTAACACAAAAACTACCCACAAAAAGGTCGTGTGTTACCGACCTCAAACAGTTGTCTGTTGGGCACTGTGGTCACGCTCTCGGGTCATTAAGACCACTTCTAACCCAATTTCTTTTTCAGGTACCCCTAGAAGAACCCTTTCACGGTGTGGACAACCGGGAAGTGATAACTGCCCTCATACCTCTAACAACACTCAAGACCACTGTATTCATAATCAATCTCCTTCTTCAATTCCTACTATTCCTTCTACCTTGACTTGCAACACCAAACTTCCTCTCTCGGTTTCCTCCTCAAGTGTCACCATGGCCAACGATTCTAGTGCGCGAAACGCTGTCCCAGGTCTACTAAAACCTCGCTCCAAACTACACATTGGAGCCTTCAACGTGCGTACTTTAAGTCAAATCGGTCAACAGGCCTCCTTAGCTAAAACCCTAGAATCTCGTACCATTGATGTATGCTGTGTCTCCGACACACGCATACAGGATCCTAGTGTGGTCATTCACTTGACCTCACCTCGCCAAAATGGACAGCCAACGAAATACACCCTCCGTGTGTCTGGCGACCCGTTGGCTAGTTCTCATGGACTTGCAGGTGTAGGCATAGCACCTAGTACAAGGACAGAACAGGCACTACTAGAATGGGTCGTCGTTAACAGTTGCCTATGTGCTGTTCGACCAAATGACTCCATAAGAACACGGAAGGATAGAGACACACGTTGCCTTTTCGTCGTTTCTGCCTACGCTCCCACTGACTGCAGCCATGATGAAGTAAAAGATGACCTTTACAGAAAGATCCCTGAACTTCAAAAAGCTAAGCGCTCAGAAATAGTAGTGGTAGCGGGTGACTTTAATGCCCAGGTAGGCAGCTTAAATCAAACAGAAAGACATTTAGGTGGGTGTTTTAGTATTCCGGCTCAACGAACCGATAATGGTGATCGTCTGTTGCAACTATGCTTAGACAATCGTTTATTTTTAGCAAACACTAACTTTAAACATAAGGAGAGACATCGTCTAACATGGCGACCACCTTCACCAAACCAACGATGGACTCAAATAAACCATATTGTCATCAGTCATCGTTGGAGAGGCTCAATAGAAGATTGTCGCTCGTATTGGAATACTTGTTTAGACTCTGATCACGCTTTAATACGAGCACGTATTTGTTTGCGCCTCACTGGACGCAGAACAACTACACCAAGAAGACCCATTAAGATTGAACTGGAGGACGAAAAAGCCAAATGCGAATTCCAGAAACAACTGAGTTCTGTAAACGAGACTGACCCAGATGCTGCTTGGAAAGACATACGAACAGCTGTGGAAACATCAGTAACATCTATTAGTCATTTAAACCATAGGGCCCAAAAAAACCAGTGGATTTCTTCTAAGTCTATTTCACTGATGGATTCGCGTAAACTCATCCCATCAAGCTCTGAACACGATAAAGAGCGAAAGCAAATCAGATCTAGGTTAACTAAAAGTCTAAGGAACGATCGTGAGCAGTGGTGGGCAACGAAAGCAAAAGAGATGGAAAAGGCAGCGGCTGTAGGCAACACTAGGCAACTATTCAGACTAATAAAAGAAACCGGAATTAAGAAGTCAAGTGTAAGTGAGACAATCTCCGAAAAAGACGGAACCCTTATCTGCTCTCAACCCAAACGTTTAGAACGATGGGCGGAACACTTTAAGGAACAGTTTAGCTGGCCTTCAGCTACTGCACAACTACCCACTATTCCTAGAAAACCTGAATGGAACATTGAAGTAGGCCCCCCGACCCTACTTGAAGTTCAAAAGGCTATAAGTAATCTGAAACGAGGAAGAGCAGCTGGTCCAGATGGATTGGCTCCAAAGGTCTTTAAATATGGTGGTCCAATTTTAGCGATTAGGTTGACTAATATTCTGGCTAAAATCTGGGAGACGGATGTAATCCCATCCGACTGGTCACAATCACTGATTGTCCCAATATATAAAAAGGGGTCAAAATCATCCTGCGATAACCATAGAGGGATTAGTCTGACTAACATAGTATCTAAAATACTAGCCTCAATAATTATCAGGCGACTAACTAAGACTCGTGAACTGCAAACACGAGAAAATCAGGCTGGCTTCAGACCTCGTCGTAGCTGTATCGACCACATATTCACCATTCGTCAAGTTTTAGAGCACAGACACGCTTATCGGCGTCCGATAATTATAGTTTTTCTTGACTTAAAAGCAGCATTTGACTTTGTAGATCGAGAGGTTCTGTGGCAGTGAGAGCTTATGGTGAACTGTCATATGATTTTACAACCTAAAGTGGTGTCCGTCAAGGTTAACCACTTTCCCCATTTTTGTTTAATTTCATTATAGACCTGTTGCTGGAAATAACACTCTCGTCGACTAAATTTTCAGGAATTGATCTCCTACCAGGGGGACCACTAAGCGACTTAGAATACGCAGATGACATAGTCCTGTTTGGTGAAGACGCTGACAAAATGCAGTCTTCTGTTGGAACTCAGTAATAATGCCAGGATGTTTGGGATGCGTTTCTCCCCATCCAAATGTAATTTGTTACTCCAGGACTGGCCTGCATCAACACCTGAACTAAGGATAGGGAGTGAAGTAGTCGAACGCGTCGACAACTTCACTCATCTTGGAAGTCTGATCAGCCCTAATGGGTTGGTGTCTGACGAAATCTCAGCACGGATTCGAAAAGATCGTTTGGCTTTTGCCAACTTACGTCACCTATGGCGAAGACGAGATATCCGTCTATCAATTAAAGGACGAGTATACTGCGCATCAGTTCGCTCTGTTCTACTTTACAGCTGGGAAACATGGCCATTAAGAGTAGAAAATAGTCGTAGATTACTAGTATTTGACCACAGATGCATTAGAAATATTGCTCGCATCTGCTGGGATAACCGGGTAAGTAATAGTGAGGTTAGACGCAGGGTATTAGGGAACGATGGTAAATCAGTTGATGAATATTCATCGACTGAGATGGTTGGGCCACGTGTTACGTATGCCTGAACACCGATTACCACGACGCGTTATAATGAATAGTGTAGGGGATGATTGGAAGAGAGTTAGGGGCGGCCAAACCAAAACATGGCATCAGTGTTTGAAGTCACTAACTTCTAGTCTGAGCCATGTTGGCAGATGCAGACTACCTGGTTGGGGTCCGCGTGACTATCGTAACCAATGGTTGGAGACTCTAGGTGACATGGCTCAGAATCGATCACAATGGCGTAGGTGTATACACTCTTTATCTTCCCTTAAACCTTGAGATTAAAATTGCTTCATATCTCTCTTCCTTACTGTACTATATCCTTATATACAACCTATAATTTATATACTACTACCACCACTAAATTAATTACTTCTATGAATCCGGTGTTCATCTTGTTGTGCTAACGAGGTATAGCAACTTGGACCGATGTATATATGTGCCTGGTCCTACGTTGTAGCTGACTGACTGTAATGTATAGAAACGATAAAACTGTTGCGGTAGAAAAAGATGGAAAAACGGGTGTACTAATGGTTCACTGAATCAAACGGGCTTTCATCGAAACTAATAATCAGCCGTCAAGCACTGATCATTTGAAAACTACAACATCACGGTAATGTGAGTTTCAATCATCAGCGACGAAAACCAACAAAAGCGAAGAGGGTCCATTAACCACTATATGTGGTCGAAGAGTACATCGGCGTGATAGATGTGTGGAGAACATCATATTTATTTAGTTCAAACTCTTGCACGATTCATGTAACTTTATAGCACATTTTCTTTTTACATCATTACCATTATTATTACTGTTCATAGTTCTCTCCACAGATTTTCATTATCTTTACATTTAAACGTGACATTTTTTGATACGTTAACGATGTACATATTTCCGATAATCAGAGTATTAATATTCACATTTACATTACATATGCAAAGCCCCCGAATGCCCTGGTACGGCCGAGGGTGGGAAGAGTCTTCTCTCCCTCTCGAAATGCTCCCAAGTGGCCACGTGCATACAACCACTGCCAGGGAAGTCCTACTTACTGCCTTCTCGCGGCATTACTGTTGTTTGCAAAATTAGGAGGACGAAAAGTGAATATCCGGTACATTAACCGGTTTGGTGGATATGGAGGATCCATTTAAGGAAGTTGGAAAACCCTGATTCCAAACCAATGGTGCACATGGGCTTCAAGTATTGGGGGAACAAATGGCGTACGAACCAATTGTTGGTCACCGGCTACCATGGGAATGCATCTCCTTACGTTGCTCGATTGTTTTGTGGATTGGACCTTTAGGTCAAAGGCTCATGGTGTGGCTCCCTAAGGAAACCACCTGCTTTGGTTTGAG